ACAACCCGCCTCCGGAGGGATTACGCGGCAATCTCGGTTTCTAGCTACGGAGCTACGAAAACATTACGAGGCCCTCCCCTGGACGGTGTATTCTCTGGCGGATATCCGTAAACCTACTGGTATATTCCACTGCAGTCTGCCGGACATACAACTCGTGGTCCACGCTTGCACGGATGAAACAACAGAGAATTTCATGTGATAGAAGTAAAAGTATTCATTATGTAGAATTGAAGCTAATGTCACCCAGTCCAGGGTTTATCCACCTTACAAATACGTGCGCTTATATTGCCCTGACACCATGTTCCAAGTACAAGTAACTACAAACCATAGTTCGTATGATTATCTTCTTACCTAACCAAATAACGGCCATGATACATCCGATCCTCCTGTCCGGCTCCCAAGACCTGTCCAAACTCGCGTTCAGGAAAGCCCTCAAAAGAGGCCGCGTAAGTTGCAACGGAGTGAGCAACAAGCTACATCCTAGTTAGCCCCCATTTAAAAAAAAAAAAAGACCATTGATAAGAAAAGAGGGGGTAAAACAGCACTTACCTGGGTATTAACAAGCCAAGCTGTAGCATTCACGTTCCCGACATCGTCACAGAGTTGGTGATAGCAAGGATCGTACCAATCCCCGGCCTTTCCGCCAAACATTTCCTGTTCTTCCTTTGTTTTCACACCCTCTGCGCCTGTAGCGATACCGCCTCCGGGAATTCCGTTCTTGATGAAGGCGTCATAGTCGCTGCGGCCATCGAAGGGTATGAATGTGTAGTTCAGGCCCTTGGATTCATACCAGTCTACGTACAGGTCCCGGAGCTGCTCGGATCCCGTGGGGTTAATCGCATTGGTTGCATTGTAAATCTGGTAGGCAAAGTTGGGGCTGCCCATCATGTCGTAATCCATGAAGAGACGGATCTTTCGGTTCTCTTCCTCGGGGAGTACCTCGACGTAATAATCGGAACCGAGAAGACCCTGTTTACGCAAAGTTGCGCACAGTTAGTTTCCATTATTGAAAGCTTGTTAGGTATCTGTAGGGAAACGGTCTGCCCAGACACACTGCCACGTGCCTGCTGTGGAGAGCAGCGAGAGACACATGAATAGAAAAATCTGAAAAGAAAAGGAAGGTGCGGGTATGATGAAATTACTGTACTAACCTCCTCTTCTCCAGCCCACCAAGCAAAACGAACACAGTTGTTAACCGTGAAATTGGTCAGACGCGTAGCAACTTCAAGCAAAGTCAAACTACCCGAACCATCGTCTATGACCGAAAAATCACACTGTGTTAGCCGAACTCTGCTTTTCACCGGGATTACTGCCCTTTCACAGTGCAAGGAATATCTGCGGTTTCAACGTACCATTGATGCCCGGCCCTTCGCCAACACTATCACTGTGAGCCCCAAGCATGACACAGTTGTCAGGATCACCCTCGACCGTCTGAATGATGATGTTGGTCGTATTGATAGTATTAACAATAGAATCAATATAGGCGATAGAATCCACGACCTCGCCCGCTTCAAGCTTTTCGACGATCGGCTGTGCGTCCCCGCCCGACAGACCAAAAGTCGCTACGTGATGCGGCGCCGGCGTACCGAGCGTGCCACTCATGCCATCCGGATTGGAGTTGTAGATGACAGCAGCCACAGCACCAGCAGCGCCCGCAAGCTCGGACTTTGTCCCGAAGGGACAGATGCCGCGCTTGATGAAGGCGATGTTGCCGTCTAGCTCAGCCGGGTAATCGGAAGCCTCGCATCCTACATTATCTACCAATACCAAATCACCGTAGACTGGCTGCTTCTTGGCAGTGGGAGGCGTCAAGGACATGGCAGTAGCTGAGCCAGGAACGGTGTGTCCCAGGACAAGACGGGATTCGAACACCTGACCCATGACGGCTGGGAAGGGCTGGGTGGAGTACTTGTAGTAGTCTCCGAGACGCTCTATCTCGGAAGTGATGTACTCCAGCGTCTTCTGGTGTCCTGTTTATACCAGGTGAGATTTGATTAACATCTAAACCCACCGGCGCATCTCTCATATTTCAGGAAAGAAGGAAGACAAACGTACCTTTACTCCCAATGACGCGCGTAGGGTGATTCCACTCATCCTCGGAAGACTTTGCCAAGTCATAAAGAGCTTCGGCGCGCTCGAACAAGCTGTCGATACTGATGCTAGCTTGGAGAAGCTCCGTGTCGACCAGTGGTTTCTTTCCCAACCGGTCCAAGTCACCGCGGCTCGCGCTATCTGCTATTAAAGGTTGCTGGAGCTGGGCAAGCGCAGACTGGTGGAAAGCCGCAGCCGTGGCTATCAGAGATAGCCGATTGAACCCAACCATATTGATCTCGTTCCCTAGAAACCCCCGATGATAGAATTTGATGATGTCTAAAGGTGAGGAATATCAAAGGTCAAGGTCCGTCACGAGATGACGACTCCTTGCGATGCCGGCATTCGCTTATCAGTTCATCTGTTATTACCGGGGCAATCATCGACAACTCCCGTCAGCTGGACCCTGTAGGTAATGACAATCCTTTCTATTCTTGGTTAGAAAAAGGTACTAGTCTCCTCCTTTCTGCTTTGGGAAATCAGGTCCCAATGCTAAAAGGCTGAGAATGGGTCTGTGGCGCCTCAGTGTGGCACTTTCATACGATACGTCACATGGCTACGATATATGCGTGCAGAATATCTTTCGAGTACCTACGTGCTTCATCCGCCGATTTCTTCAGGGGCATGTACCACTTCAGATAAATAGGACCGTTGCATCTTGAGTTGAGATCTTGACACGCAGACCCATATATATACACGCACCTGTCGATATCTTGGTCTCTTCGGATGGTATCGGCTAACAGGTCTAGGTAACGCCTGTCAGTCTTCAGACGCATAGCTCAAAAATGGATGAAGAGCTATCCTCGTTATTACCTGCCTAGACGGTATATTTTCCTTTTGTCGTACGTCTACGAGTACCTAGAAGGTTTGTATATCTCTCTGTGCCTATGACAATGCATTGTTGCGGTCAAAACATGGGGAAAACAAAGCACGTTGTGTTTTGCTCAAACAAGCACTTCCCGAGCTTCATTGTCGTCAGACGAAAATATAAACAAAGAAACGGTTCATATAGAATTCCGACCCAACGTCGCAATGAGTGTCCGAATATACACACGTACGTTCACCCAAGGTCAAGCAAGGCTAAGGGAAAGTTTATAGTCCACAGAAGGGAGTCATAACATCGGACTTTTTACAAAAGGCCGGCACAAGCCAGGCTAGAACCGACACGTCATGGCTTTCCGCCTGGAAGCGGAACCCGTCTGTGGGGATATGATGGACGTCTTTGACTTTGCCTTGCAATGGCCCATGTGCGGAGTTGGTTGCGATGAAACCCCAAAGGAAGACATGACACTAGGTGACGAAGCGACGTCGCCAGCAAAACAATGTTTAGACGGTGGAAACCAAAACCACCACGAATCAGACGGCCATCCTAGTAGTACCTTGACGAGCCAAAATGGTAGGGTTTCCAACTTGGCCGCTACCGCGAATAGATGCATACCAACGCCTTCTCGGAGGAAGAGGTCATTCTCGGAAACATGCAGAAGCGATAGTCGCTCTAGTTATCCGAAAAGGAGGAAGAAGTCGAATGTGGCCCGTCTCCCCCCCGAACTGATGGCGATGGTGATCGCGCATATATCAGCACCGGAACCAACATGTGCGCTTAATCTCCTCGTTCCCGATTGGAAGATTCACCGAGAAAGGACACTGGCACCAGGAGATAACTCGACTCAAGTGGTAACTTATACGCGAGGCACAGACCTGGAAGTAGTAGGTGAGCTTTCCCTGGGTTTTATCGAGGATGGAATACTCACCCCCTCAGCAGACTTTAATCGTACCGCGACGACTATTAACGGAATGTTTTCTTCAGAGTATATCAGGCAATTCCATCGCAACCACACGCACGTCTTTACTCTCGGAACAGGTAAAGAAACCACGACGGTAAAGGTTTCCGATAATAACTGGAGGGATCTTCTACCTCTCCGGGGTGAAAAGGCCAAGGCAGTCCTACCATTCGACGACGAGCCAATCGGTGTAACCAAGAAGGCAGCATTTCTAGGTTGTTCGGCCCCTGCTTATCAGGATCTCCGACATATCGCACTCCACTCTCCGTTGAACCTGATGCAAGTCAACGCAGAAAGCTTGGGAAGGATTGCCGGTATTACAGACTCCGAAGCTCAAGCTCAAGGTCTAGACGACGCTTTGGACCTCGACAGAGCCGCTCATCTATGGCTGTCGTGGTCCAAGATGCCGAATCTCGAGAGTGTCTTCCTCGACTTGCGAATCTACAGCCACGACTTGAACACGAGTCGGAGATGTCTCAGTAAGTACCAAATCATAGATAGGGCAAGGGAGATGGGTCGTCACCTGCAGCTTAAAACGCTGGTCATCGCCGGACTACAGAGCTACAGTTTCGAGACACGGTACGATGACGTGACCGCGGCCGAGATTGAACAATTGGATGACATAGGGGGCGAGCCGAATTGGTTCAAGATATTCAGGTCTGCGATACGACCTGGCGGGAAGATTGTGCTTGTCGACAGGGCTGTTGATGAATGACGTACTGAATTACCTACCTATGCAAAAAGGTAAGTTTTGATGCGAAAATTATTCTCTATATAGCATGTGTAAATATCTGAAGTCCTAAAAGAAAGGATTTATAAAGTAAGATATATATGTACAGTAGGTATGAGTAGAATACTTAGGTATTTATACCTATTATCTGCCATGCCTATCATTAATATATGTAGTCACTGCTACCTCAACCTCAAGATCCAAAAACAAGAGTACCTACTAGATAAGAGAAAAAAAGAAAAAAGAAAAAAAGAAAAAAAAATTGATGGTGTTTTAGCTAGCGATTGTTTCGATCAATCGACCTCCGGGTTATGAGCCCGGCGCTCTTCCACTGAGCTAGCTAGCTTTAAACAAGACAAATGTCATCGTCGTCCTTCCCAGGTAACCCATCAAACACACGCCCCAGGCGGGGGTCGAACCCGCAGCCTTCGGATGACAAAGACATATATATCAAAGACATAATTGTAAAAGTCCGACGCTCTAACCAATTGAGCTACCAGGGCATGGGAAAATCGCGCTGATTGATTCTGGTTCTTGGTGGATGGATGTTGGTTGTCTATGTTAGGTCAAGTTTTGATGTTGTAGTAATTGTTTATAGAACCTTGGTTTTTTTTTCTTCTTCTTCTTTTTTTTCTTCTTCTTCTTCTTTTTTCTCTTCTTCTTCTTTTTTTTTCTTCTTCTTTTTTTTCTTCTTCTTCTACTGGGAAATAAATAAATCAATGGATATCATCACATTTCATATAAACAAGCACGGACTGGTGTTTAAATGTTCACTGTATATTCACACTTGTCTAGGGTACATATCTCTAGAGAAACAGCAAAGCAAGAACTAAAAAGGGGGAAGGGGGAAGGGGAAAAGTGGGAGAGGGCTATATATATATATACATCATCGAGAAAGAAAGAAAAGAAACATGGAAATAAATAAATCAATCAATCAATCCCCATCTAACCAACTACCCTACCTACCTTACCTTATCATGCCATACCACTCACTTGACGTCGTCCGATACGCAAGAGGGAATCTTCAATACTGCCACGCGTCTGTTGTTGTTGTTGTTGTTGTTGTTGTTGTTGACGAGTGGCAATACTGCTGCCGTTCTGGTTAGGCAGCTTGACGCCTAGCTGGGGGAATAGATCCTGCCATGTCGGACCTGTGTACGCGAACAGGAATGGAGGGGCGACAGGTGGACAATAAGTATCGGGTCTGGGCAGAGTGCCGTTTCGGAAAAATGCTTGGATGGTCCTGGCTGTGCAGAGAGAGGGGTGTTGGATAGTCGCGTGCTAGATGATATATCATATTAGTCTGAAATTGTTCGATTAAGGGGAAAGAATGATAAAAAGGGGTTCGACGGCAAAACACCAAAAGAAAAAAGAAAAGGAAGAAACAAAACATACCCCGACACCACCATGCTCAAAAAGAACACTACGCTTAATAGTCTCGGTAAGATTCCTCGCCGACACGATAGACGTAGCCGGATCATACGTATTCCCAGCGATTAGAAGCGGTTTCCTCGGCCTGACGTCCTCGAACCGACCACGATATCTATCTTTCGGCTCGATCCCCCACTGCGCGCAGATCGAAACCAACGCCGCGACGGAATCTCCCAAAAGTCGACTGACAGATTCCGCGTGATCCAGGGCTTGCGATAAAACATCGAACTCGATAGTGCGCGGCACCTTGTCGACGCAGGCGATGCCCACGGCGGCGTCGTCGGGCGGCGTCAATGCCGCGACCGAGTTGCCGTAGAGGTACCGCGTGATGGCCTCGCCGGCGCGCGTCAGGTTACGCGGCTGCTGCTGCTGCTGCTGCTGCTGCTCCGGATGTGTGAGGAAGGCGTCCAACATCCCCTCGAGCGTGACCCATGACTGGGGCGCGTACAGCGTGAACCGGATCGCCGTCTTGAGCTCCGTGTAGCCGATCACTTGGCCCTCGTATCCGAACGGTCGGTACTTGAGCTCCTCGATGAGATCCCACGTTGCTGATTCGAGGTCCTCGGCTGTTTTGTCCGGGTTGTTGCGCGCTAGACTGCAGTATTTGGGCGTGGATACGCATTGGCGGAAGAATTCGGAGAATGTGGCGTCGCTTGATGCGGTGCTTTCGGCGAGGGTCCTGTTATATGGTAGGTAGGTATTATCAGCTCCGCGTTTTCTCTGCTAGGTATACATCACAGGACATGGACTTACATCTCATGGAAGTATTCGGTCGGGTTCACGACACCATCTGTGTCGGAGGGTGACAAATCAGCTTGTAACATCTTTTACTGAGAATCAAGGGGCCGCAGGACTTACCCAGCAAGACCTTTTCCACCCGCTCGGGAAACAAGGCAGCAATCTCAGCTCCTAGCACGGTACCGTATGATAGACCTGCACGTGTCACTCCCATGTCAGCTACGATGGCGGTATTCGATATTAGCCAAGAAAGAAGGGTGACGTGAACGCACCCCAGTATCTCAACAAGCCATCTTCTTCCACCGCATCCACAATCTTCATCGCGTCACGGGCCGTGAAAGAACTATCGATGAAAGGACCCCTTTCCGAAGACTGGGGATACTCGGCACAAGCCCGCGCCGTATTCTTTCCGCCCGCCCATAGCAAGCCGCGCGAGACATCCGACGCATTACCCAGTGGAGTCTGGGAACCCAAGGCAGCACGGCTCGTCGCGTCAGCAAAACATGAGAACGTCAACGTCTGAGCCGTTCCACGGGGATCCCAGGCAATAAGGTCGTGTTCGCCTCCGGTGACACTAGTAAAACGACGTTAGCTTTTCTCAAATACCTACATGTCCTCCCCCCCCCCCCTTAAACCCCAAAACTTACACCTGTAGAAGATCAGCCAATTCAGCAAGTGTTACCCTTGCCTCTAGACCAGGACCACCGAAATTAAACAGAATACTATGTTGTTTCTTCTTCACCGGAGTCTTAACCACGGCTGGGACCCTCAGAAGCGACAACTCGAGTGTTTCGCCACCGTCGAGGTTGGTGTAATCGAGCGGTACGGTAAGAGTACCGCAGTCGACTTGGAGACGTGCTAGGTCGTTGATCTCGGATGGACATGGTTTCCATTGGACTTTGTCTGTTGGATATCCGCTTCCACTTCCACTTCCGTGGACGACGGCGATGCTAAGGGCTGATATGGCGAGGAAAATGGACCGGACGGGGCCGGGAAGGTGGAGAGATGACATTTCACTCACTTACTTACTTACTTACTTTCCCCGTAAGTAACCCAGATATCTCGAGGAAAGAAAAGGAGGGTTGTTGACGGATACCTATATCAAGACAACAACACACAATGTATATATATCTTATAACAGTTTCCCGTTTCGTTCGTGAGTATTGACGAACAGGAAAACTCAAAAGCCCCATATGATGAGAAAACATCCATCTCTTATATACCTACCTACTTACCTACCTACCTACTTACCTACCTAACCAAAATCCCCGGCGGAAGGAATGCAATGCATACAATACATACTCTCACCTCACATCCTTCCTTCCTTCTTTCTACCTGTAGGGATCTAAACCTACCTACTCGTATTCTATTGTGGGGGGATCGCAAGAGAGAAAATAAAATACAAGTCATTTGTTTGTTACCAATTTTAGCCATTCGAATGGAACAACTAGGTACCTACCTACGTTAAGAGGTACTAACTAAATGTAATGTAACTTGAACTACGAGCAGGTTTAACAACCAGCTAGGACTATCTACGCTGCAAAAGTAAACAAGCAAAGTATCCAATGAGACGAATAGGTATACCAATTTAAACATTTCTGATTATATTTATTCTATTTACCGAATAAGGTAAATCAAAGGCCAAGACATTTCTGATTTTATTTATTCTATTTACCGAATAAGGTAAATCAAAGGCCAAGACATTTCTGATTATACTTATTTTTTTATTTACCGAATAAGGTAAATGGAAGGCCAAGACATGTAGGACTAAAAAAAATCACCTTACACAAAAGGGATTCTTCTCCATGCCATTCATTGCGCAAGATGGGTAGTTGTAGTGTACCTAAAGTAAGTTTGAACCTTCGAGAAGGCAACTGACGATATCATATCTCACATAAGGAGGAGTTCGCCTTGTGAGAGGTAGGTACTCGTAGATAGCCAACCCAAGGAAAATCTTATATTAACAAGGTAATATTCAATATGTAATACCAAGTGATTCGAACTTGATTCATTCCATCTCATCTCATGCATGTCATCTCATCTTCGAGAATGTCCTATAACCTACCTATACCTAACCTAGTACCTTAACTACCTACCCACCCACATGGGAAGCAAGTAAAATATGTCATGACAAAGATCTCAGCTCTTCTGCCCCGGTCGCGACTGACCCGATACTACTTCTTCATATTACCCTATCGGGATATATCATGTATCCCTTCACACACTTTACACACTCCGTAGGCAAACAAGTAATCGTGCCACGCCCCACCTTTTTGGGGGCTCGCAAGCTCACCACCCTACTAGGTGGTGCTATTTAGTAGAATAGCCACTTTACTAAAATAGCCACTTTTGATAGAATTTTTACTTTGCTATTAAAAAAAACACCTGCGCAATGACTTTATAAAATTTAAAAAAATATAGTAAGCTAGATAGATTATTTTGCTACCTAATAGAAATTTAAAAAAAATACATTGTAAAGGTTATGGCTGCGTAAGGGGTAATATTAAAAAGGGGTATAAAGTATAAAGCAAAAATTTTTACACTAAAAATTTTCATTGTTATTATTAAATAATTAATTCAAAAAAATACCTATAGCTACAAAAGTTAGAATATAGCTTATTTAAATAGTAATAGACCTAATGAAAAATCTAAAAAAATCAATTTCTAAAGGGTATAAAAGTTGGAAGTTTTTTGTATTTTTTTTGCATGTACTTTTACATTTTGCCTAATATTTTAGCAAATAAAAATTTAAAAAATAAATTATGACCATGTTTAGATAGCTAAAATTCTACTTTATCTATATTTTAAATTTTAATATTACAGCCTTATTTGTTGCTATGTTATTTAAAAAAGTAAAAACGTTGTTTTTGTATAAGGATTATACTAAAACGTAAAAGTGGTTATTTTAGTGAAATGGCTATTTTACTGAATAGCACTACCTAGTAAGGTGGTGAGCCCGCGAACCCCTAGAAAGGTGGGGCGTGGCACGATTAAAAATAACGTAGTTCAAAAGTTATCTCCAACGGAAATTACATATATACGTATCCTAGAAGAAATAAATAAATCCAAAAACCCCTCCCTTCCCCCCTTTTTACCTTAACACCGTCTCCATGTCCAACCCAACCGTTCACTGACAACAGTCCTATTCCCACCACCACCACCACCACCACCATAAAACCCATAATAAGCCTCAGGATCATCCGGCGACATTGACGTAAAAGCCATACGAAAATTAACATTCAAAAGTCCTTCCCCACCACCACCACAATCCGACCAAACAAGCTCATCCCGCGGGATCTTTGTGTGCAGAATGACGTCTCTGTCGATAGGACGA